GAGGGCGGGTCCTTTTCAACATGTGTCTCTCGCCTGATCGCCGCGCACACTCGTCTCAAACAGTTAGTTCAAGAGCTTAACGGATGGAGGGCGGGTGGTTTTCAAAATGTGATTCTCGCCTCAGCGCCGCGTACATTCGCCCTTAAAAGTTGCAAGAGGTTCACGGATGGAGGGCGGGTAGCTTCCAAAATGTGGCTATCGCCTGAGCGCTGCGCGCACTCGTTTTTAAAAAATGGAAATTGTAACAGCTTCAAGAATGGAGGGCGGGCGGTTTTCAACATGTGGCTCTCGCCTTAGCGCCGCGCACACTCGTCGCAAACAGCTGCAAGAGCTTCACGGATCAAGGGCGGGTGGTTTGCAAAACGTGGCTCTCGCCTCAGCGCCGCGCACATTCGTTCCAAAAACGTGCAAGAGGTGAACAGACTTCCGTGGTCAACGTGCCAGGAAAAAAAAGGGTTTTGCGGGGACTTCGGACTGCCAGGAGGCACCAATGACGTCGATTCGCGGCGCTGACGTCCCAGGAGCTGTGCACATGGCACGCTTCAGGGTCGTCCAGACGCAACAGACACTTGGAGCCGTGGAGCTTGAGTCCCGCGAACGATGTTTTGGCACTCTTCAGGGTCTTCAAAGCGGCTGTCTCCCAGCGGGGCACTTCCCTCAGTGGAGATGGCCCCTGGGCCTGTGCAGAGGGAGCCTGGAGGGAGGGTGGTTTATCCCAACATCGTTGATGAGTCGTGGGTTTGCAGTGGTCCTCCTCCGCCTCCTCCTCCACAACCTCCTCATTATCCTCCTCCTTCTCCTCCTTCTCCTCCTCCTCCTTCTCCTCATCATCCACATCATCCTCTCTCCTCTCTCCTCTCTCCTTCCTACTCCTCCTCCTCCTCCTTCAACTCCAACTCCTCCTCCTCCTCCTCATCGTCAGCATCATCATCAGCATCTTCATCATCATCATCATCAGCATCATCATCATCATCATCATCATCATCATCATCATCATCATCATCACCATCACCATCACCATCACCATCACCATCACCATCACCATCACCATCACCATCACCATCACCCTCATCAGCATCATCATCATCATCATCATCAGCATCAGCATCAGCATCAGCATCAGCATCATCATCATTTTCATCATCATCATCATCGTCATCATCATCGTCATCGTCATCGTCATCGTCATCATCATCATCATCATCATCATCAGCATCAGCATCATCATCATCATCATCATCATCATCATCATCATCATCGGCATCATCATCATCATCATCATCATCATCATCATCATCATCATCATCATCCCCCTCCTCCTGCTCCTCCTCCTCTGCTTCCTCCTCCTCCTGCCCCTCCTCCTCCTCTTCCTCCTCCTCCTACTCCTCCTCCTCCTCCTCCTACTCCTCCTGCCCCACCGCGCTGCCCGTCAGGGGTCGCCGCGCGTCCGTGGCACGCTCCCCGGCTGGTCGGGCGGCCCCTTTCTCAGGGTCCCAGTGGACGGGGACCTTCAGCTTTTTTGCCCCATGGGCTTCCACAATGTCGCCGCAGGGCGGGGCAGGGGGGAGGGCGGCCTGGGCCTGTGATCAGTCGCGCAAGCAGACTGGGGGAGCTGGGGCCCTGACCAGTCGCCAAGAGCAGCCGCCGGGAGCAGCCAGGATCTGGTCCATGGAAGGAGGAGGGAGGGGGGGGGGCAGGGGCTAGGGCCGATCGGCGAAACAACACATTAAACACTACAGACACATCCCAGATTGGGCGTCGCTTGATGGGGGGGCGAGAAGCCCTGTCCTTCCAGGAGGGCTAGGAAATAGCACCAGGACCTCGACATCCACAATTGTTGTCGAGTTCGTAGGCAGTCCAGGCAAGCCTATAGGTCTGGAGGGCTATTTTTTAGCAATCTGTGGACGGTCAGGGGACCCCGAGCATTCCAGGGCATCCTCCAGCGCCGCCTCCAGCGGCGCCCCTGGGGCGCTTCGCGCGTGTCAAGGTGCTGAGACCGCCTCGGACTACTCGGGGATGGACAGACCTCGGGCCAAAACCTGGCGGGCGCGAGCCTGGAACATGACGGCCGCGGCGCCCGAGAACGGGCAATTCACTAATCGACGTGCCAGGGTAGGAGGTCTGTCCACCCCCGACTACTCGGGGGGCATGCTGGAGTCGGCTGGGAGTGCTCGGGGAGCCTGTCGAGGCCAGCCGGGGCTGCCTGGGGGGTGGGGGGGGAGGCTGTCCGGTGCGCAGCCCGAGACCTCACCAAGAAGGGAAGCCCTGGTCTGGAGCCGATCCAGAGCTACGACGTGCCGATGGCTCACAACGTCGACCCCCGAAGGCCTCGACCCCTCGGAGGCTGCAGACGGCCGCAGGCCTCCCTCCGCGAGGTCCGCCTCGCGACGCGAGCATGCCTGGGCCGCACACCAGTGCCGCAGCCCCGGGGGCCCGCACTTTTCCGACCCGCGCGGTCCAGCCGGCGATCTCGGCGGTCTCCCGGGCCCGCCCCGGGCGCGGAGGCCGGCCCTCCGGGCGGGCGTCGGCGAGCCGCGCGCCGGGCCGGGCGCGAGATTCGGCATGCAAGCGGGGGGCCCCGCGGGGCGAAGAGGGAAGGGGGGGAGGCGGGGAGGGGGGGCAGGAGGAGGGGCAGCATGACGAGGCTGCCCTTGCGCCCGTGTGCATTGAGGCTTCTCGGCCACCGCGCGTCGGCAGCCCCGCGCGCGGGCGCGCCGCCGCCGCCACCGCCATCCTCGCCTCCTGAGCTCGTGTGCGGGCAAGCCCAAATCCGTCCCCACGCCCGGCTTCAACTTCGCCAGGCCATCCTGCGCACGAAAACTCACTGCGTCCACAACCCAGCGAGTGGGGGCCCGCGCAGTTCGTCGGGGGGCCCAGCCCGCGGCGCGAGCAGCCCGACGCCGACCTCCCTTGGCAAGGGCTGCCTTGTCCAGTGTCAACTCAGGGATCGCCCAATTAGCCTCGCAGGTGTCCTCTCTGAGGTGTCTGCGGAGGGTCGACCCGCATGGCGCGCCCCTTTCGCCGTCGGCCTGCTGCAAACAGATGAACCACTCGTCCGGCCTCTGTTGTCCGCACCGTGCGAACCTTGCATCGCGCTTGTCGTGCCCGAACCTGCATATCGCTGACGTTCGCGCCGCCAGTGCCATATTGCGCCCCAGGCATCCTCGATGCCGATCGACAGGTCGCTCGTCGCCCACGTTATTCGGAACGTCGTACCAGTCGCAACTGCTGCGAGACTCGAGCCGGCCCCTCCAAGTCTGGAAGCGAGACGCACGATCGGACGCTGGAATCTGCATGCCCAGACCCCCGACATCATAATTTTTGTCATAACGTCGACCCCAGAGGTCTGGACCCCTTCCTCTGGACCGGTTTTCCATTCTGAGTCGTTTTTTGACGGTCCCAAGGCCCGGCGAGGGCCCCCGGAGGCTGAAATTTAGGAAAAACCTCCCGTCACGATTTTTGTCATTGCCCGAGGGGGTCTGGGCAACTGGGTGCGTCATCGATTCCGTGTGCAGCAGATCAGTCGGCCCGCGTGCAGTTGGAGCCACACCGCCGAAGCTCCACCCGTCGATGCCAAACAGCTGGGGTCGACGAGCGGCGTCCGCGGTAATGAAACAGGCGCGCGACCTTCTCTTAAGATCCCCTGGGATTTTTTGCCCTGCCAGGACCACATTCGCGCCCGCGAGCAGTGATCTGGGGGCCCAAGAGGCGCCCAAGAGGCCTCCGAGAGGCTCCCAAGGGACCCCCGAGAGACCCCCAAGAGGCTCCGTGAGACACCCAGGACGCTCCGAGAGACCCCCGGGGCCGCCAAGAGGCCCCCAAGACGCTCCAAGAGGCCTCCAAAAAGCTTCCAAGAGACATCCGAGGAGACTCTGAGAGGCAACTCGCCTGGGCATCGTTTCTGGATGGGCTGGTGAGGATACGCGAAGCCTCAAGAGTAAGTTACAACAACAAAGGGTCGACGTCACTACCGTGTCCTAGAAATGCGTAGGCTCAAGACAGTGTGGCCAGACTGTCGAACCCCCCGCGTGGATACCCTTCAGTCATGGCGAAGAACACAGAGTGCCAAATCTTGGAGCTCTTCGCCGAATCTGCACCGCAAGAGTCGCCTGCAAAGAAGCCGAAACAACGAGCTGAAACCGCGAGGACGCCTTCAAAAAGATCGCGGCCGAGGCCGAGAAATACAAGGCCAGCAAAGCCGACGCAGAGCTGGCCAAGGGCTGTACGAGTGGGACGCTGCGCTCGTACCAAACCATACGCCAGTCTGCCAGCTCGAGCACAGATGGCAGCTTGAGTAGAAAAAGCGAGGATGAAGAACAGGCGTAGACATGGGAGACGGAGGGGGGACGAGGAGGAGGAGACGAAGGAGTACTCGGAGGAGACGGAGACGAGGAGACGGAGGAGACGGAGGAGGAAGAGGAAAACGAGACGGAGGAGAAAAAAGGTGGAGGAGGAGACGGAGGAGGAGGAGACGGAGGAGGAGGAGAAGGAGACGGAGGAGGAGAAGAAGAAGAAGAGGAGGAGGAGGAGGAGGAGGAGGGGGAGGAGGAGGAGACGGGAGGAGACACAGAGGGGGGGGGGAACGGAGGAGGGGGACGAGCAGGCAGACCTCAGTGCCAGGCGCGCGGCGCCGGCCCCGCCGGGCAGGGCTGGCGGTGGCTAGACGCCCACGGCGCGCCCCCGGCGGGCCCGCCAGCTCCGCGGCTGCGCGCGCGCGCCTGCGGCAGACGGCAGGGCCGCGCCGCCTCGCGGCGGCGGGGCCGCCCGCGGCAACACGGGCCGTGGCGCCCTCAGCACCGCTGGCCGCCCGCGGGCCGCGGGCGCCCGCGGCAGCGACGGCCGCGGCTCACGCTCTCTGCAGCCGGATCGGGGAAGGCAGCGGCGGGCTGGCCGCCGCCGGGCGCCTCGGCGGCCGCGGCGGCAGCAGGTGCGACGGCGGCGACGGCCTGGCGGGCGCTCGGGGCCGCCCCTGGCGCAGCGCCGGGCTGCCGGGGCTGCACTGCAGGCCCTCCTCCAGGAGGCGGCGCGGGCTCGTGGGGTCGAGGCGAGCCGCGGGGACCGCCGCGCCGCCGAGCCTCGGCCCGTCCTGCGGGTGCGCCGCGCCCTCGCCCCTGCCGCCCGCCTCGGGACCGCTCTCCGAGGAAGCCGCAGTGCTGCCCCTGCCGCCCGAAGAGCCGCCCAGCAGGGGCTGCCGGAGGTCGTCGAGGCGAGCCGCGGGGACCGCCGCGCCGCCGAGCCTCGGCCCGTCCTGCGGGTGCGCCGCGCCCTCGCCCCTGCCGCCCGCCTCGGGGCCGCTCTCCGAGGAAGCCGCAGTGCTGCCCCTGCCGCCCGAAGAGCCGCCCAGCAGGGGCTGCCGGAGGTCGTCGAGGCGAGCCGCGGGGACCGCCGCGCCGCCGAGCCTCGGCCCGTCCTGCGGGTGCGCCGCGCCCTCGCCCCTGCCGGCCGCCTCGGGGGCCGCTCTCCGAGGAAGCCGCAGTGCTGCCCCTGCCGCCCGAAGAGCCGCCCAGCAGGGGCTGCCGGAGGTCGTCGAGGCGAGCCGCGGGGACCGCCGCGCCGCCGAGCCTCGGCCCGTCCTGCGGGTGCGCCGGCGCCCTCGCCCCTGCCGGCCGCCTCGGGGCCGCTCTCCGAGGAAGCCGCAGTGCTGCCCTGCCGCCCGAAGAGCCGCCCAGCAGGGGCTGCCGGAGGCCGTCGAGGCGAGCCGCGGGGACCGCCGCGCCGTCGAGCCTCGGCCCGTCCTGCGGTGCGCCGCGCCCTCGCCCCTGCCGCCCGCCTCGGGCCGCTCTCCGAGGAAGCCGCAGTGCTGCCCCTGCCGCCCGAAGAGCCGCCCAGCAGGGGCTGCCGGAGGCCGTCGAGGCGAGCCGCGGGGACCGCCGCGCCGCCGAGCCTCGGCCCGTCCTGCGGGTGCGCCGCGCCCTGGCCCCTGCCGGCCGCCTCGGGGCCGCTCTCCGAGGAAGCCGCAGTGCTGCCCCTGCCGCCACACGGAGAGCCGCCCAGCAGGGGCTGCCGGAGGCCGTCGAGGCGAGCCGCGGGGACCGCCGCGCCGCCGAGCCTCGGCCCGTCCTGCGGGTGCGCCGCGCCCTCGCCCCTGCCGGCCGCCTCGGGGCCGCTCTCCGAGGAAGCCGCAGTGCTGCCCCTGCCGCCCGAAGAGCCGCCCAGCAGGGGCTGCCGGAGGCCGTCGAGGCGAGCCGCGGGGACCGCCGCGCCGCCGAGCCTCGGCCCGTCCTGCGGGTGCGCCGCGCCCTGGCCCCTGCCGGCCGCCTCGGGCGGTGGCGGAGCGCTGCATCGGGGCTCGCGGCACTTGGCGCCCGCCTCCGCGGGCCCACCGTCGGGGTCGCAGCCGGCGGGCAGCATGGGCGAGAAGCCGCTTCGCAGGAACCTCTTCGGGCTGCCGCAGCAGGATCTCGCAGACATCTTATCCGGCCTTGGCTGCCCCGATACGCAACACGCAACACGTAGCGTATTGACACAGAGCTCGACACGTAGACTGAATATGTGCGTATCGCGCGACGCGTTCGCCAAAACGTGGACCAACACGTGCCGAGCCAATACGCAGCGTGTTAGCACGCACGTCTTGAGCACGGTACGTGTTGCGTTTCATCACGGGCGTATCCAGGCAGCTAAGTTTCTGGCTTGCGCTTGTCGTCGAGCACCAGGAGCTGGAAGTCGAAGTCGTCGAAGCCGAGCATCACCACGGTGCCCACGAGGTAGCCGTGCTCGGTGTAGATCTCCTTGGCCAGCATGGTGCTCCAGACTTCGAACAGGATCTTGTCATCGTTGCTTGGTCTGCCGAGCTCGCCTCCGAATATGAAAATGAACAGCCGCTCCCTCACGATCCAGTTGATACTCACTATGCCCGACACCTGATATAAATACACTAGAATTTGAAAGAAATTGCCCCAATCAAAGCCATCGCCTACGAGGCATTCGCGAACAACCCTGGATTTGATGAGAAATGCATCAAAACCAAGGAGGAGACAGCAGCAGCACATGAGGCAGTATCTTAAGACTGGCAGGGCGGTAATGATGCGACTTCTCAGGGAACGATGTCGAGCAAATCTCTCAAACGCCTTTCTGAGCTTGCGCAGGGCATGGGCTCTCATCACAGTGGGTGTGACGTAATGCAACAATCGTATAAGGCTGAAGGACTGCAATTCAGGAACTGAGGTCCAGAATACGTCCGCTGTTCGCAACCATCTGGAGAACTCGTCCTGCGTGTACGCGAAGAGACAGGCGGCCGAAATAAAGAAGAGGAATCTGACGCCGAGGAAGCCAAGGAGCAGCAGCTCCAGCAGCGGGATGCACTTGTCGAACTGGTGGGTGTAGACGGACTCGAAGCCCAGCAGCCGGAGCAGCTGCTTGCTGAGGAGAAAGCGCTCCCCCGCGCCTTCGACGCGCGCCGCCTGAATCTCGTGCAGGGCCATGACGTCCGTGTGGATGACCGTCAGGACGTTGAGGACGACGAGGGCGCAGACTGCCTGCGCCTTCAGATCCGCGGCGCGGCGCGCCGTGGCGCGTGGGCGGTGCCGCGCGGCGCTGCGGGCGGCGGGCGGTGCCCCCGTGGAGCACCCAACCGGCACCTCCGGCCCGGGATCGCCCGGGCCCCCCCCCGTCTCCAACCCAGCAGCCCCCTCCAGCCCCCTCGTCCTCCTCCTCCGCCCCGTGCAACTCCTCCTCCTCCTCCTCCTCCTCCTCCTCCTCCTCCTCCTCCTCCTCCTCCTCCTCCTCCTCCTTTGGTGCTGCGGAGATAAAGGTGGACTGTACAGCTGTTGTGCCTGTCCTCCTCCTCCTCCTTCTCCTCCTCCTCCTCCTCCTCCTCCTCCTCCTCCAGCTTGCTCCCCTCAAGCGCTGTGGCGGGTGTGCGCGGCAGCGCAACTGGCTACATGAAGGCGTAGTCCAGCTCTGGGATGTCCGACACGCCGGAGTCCCTCGCGATGTGGACGCCGTGGTGCCGGCTCAGCATGTCCCTGCTGCCGTCCGCGGGCCCGTGGTAGAACTCGTTCCAGACGCTCGTCATGCGCCTGAAGTAGGCGGGGTCGTTTTCGAAGGCCCGCAAGCAATCGATCTCGCTCCGCATCCCCACGTCCCGGTCCATCACGGTCGCCCGCTTCCCGTTGCGCATCCTTTGGCATCCCCGCAGGGGTACGGATTATGTGGCCACGAGTGTTGCTCAAAACCGACAGCGGCCGCTGTTGGCCAAGCAGACAGCGTCCGCGGCGACGCCGACAGCGAGGCCGATTCAAAATGAGAAAGATGAACAGGCCTGCCTTTGTGCCCTCGCTGTCTCCACCCTGAGACCACGACGCGAAAAAATACAAGACGGTGATAACTCCGCCGACGCGACAGCAAATGCACAACTGCGCCACCCATCGTCTCGGGCCGGCTCGAAAGGTGAGGGCCCCTGGGGCCCAAAAACCGTGGCGAGAGCGCCCGCCGTGAAGAGATGGCAGCGCCTGGACCTCGGGCATGGCCGTGGGGGTCCCCGACCCCCTCTGCTCGCCGCTCGCCGCCGCTCGGGCGTCCGGTCCCCGTGCCTCTTCGCCGGCCTCGTGCGCCCGGCTTCCCCGCAAGCTGATCCCGGATGCTCCTCGATGGCCCTCGCCGAGAACCCATAGGGCGACGCAATCTATACATTATCCACTGCTCCCTGGCCAGGCCCATCCTGAGCACAGCAGCTGTGTATACGCCACGCCCTCCTGGTTTGGGCAGGAGGGCGTATACACAGCTCCTGGGTTCAGGATGGGCCTGGCCAGGGAGCAGTGGATATGTATAGACTTCGTCCCCCGAACCCAGACCCCCTCGGGCACCGACAGGCTCGTGACGAAAGGTGTTTCCAAACGCTCAGCCTCTGGAGGTTCTGACCGGCCCTCGGCACCGTCAAACAATGACTCAGGGTGACCAAAAGCCGGTCCGGGGGAATGGGTCGAGACCTGTGAGGGTCGACGGTATGGAAAAATCATGACGTCGGGGGCCTGGGCCGATGGTCCTCGCCGTGAAAAATGCACACGTCCGACGAATGCCTAATCCGTACACGAGCAGGGACCCGCCGTCCCAGCATTCCCCCAGGCGAACCACGGAGGCCCTTGGAACAGAGGATGCCCCAGCAAGAAAGACAAGGATCTCAGAACGCAGAGCCGACGTGACAAAAAAAGACAGCCGCAACCAAACATGTTCTGAGAACATTCCGTGCAGACCACAAGAGGCTCTTAGAACATAACTATCTGGCCGATTCCGGAAAGCCTGGACCCAAAAACGGTTTCATCTCTTGACGAAGCATGCTGTATTTCCGCCGCCGTCCGCCGCCCTTCCGCCAGCTCCCGCCGGCGGAGGCGGCCTCGTTTTACTTCCATCGACCTTCCGCCGCCCTTCCGCCGCAGAAGAGATGACAGCTCCTTCTATCTTCGAAGGCACGGCCCTTGCTGGAACGCGCAACTCCGTGCAGACCACCAGGGGTTCTTAGAGCATCACTGCGTGGGCCCACAGTGAGGCGACCCGGGGCGCTCCGTCACTGCTCGACGTACACCCCTCTCGGTCAGTGCCGGCGCCTGGCTGGCGCCAGGCCCGCGGGGCCGCAGCGGGGCCCGGCGGAGGGGCCGCCCCGAGGCGGCCGAAGAAGGCCACGGGGCCAGCATGGCTGCGGATGCGAAGGGGCGGCACGAGCGAGCGGCACGGCGGGGGTCCCAGACCTCCTCGCGTGGTGAAGGCAGCGCGGCGGGAGGGTCGTCGCTGTGTGCGGTATCCGGGGGCCCTCGCCGGGCTCCAGCGCTGTCAAACAACGGCTCAGGACGAAAAACTGGTCCCTGGATACACCCTGCGAAATGCTTAAGAAATCATGGGTTAAGAAATTCATAGTCTCAGAACTTGAATAAAAAAACCCAACATTTCTATTCACATCTTAAGATTTACATTAGAACGTTAAGAATAATCGAGACTCTGGCCGAAAACTTTAGTTTTCTTAAGCATCGCCTAAGGGGTAGGGGTCCAGGCCCCTGGGTTCACTCATGAAAAGTCACGACGTCGGGCTTCTATAGGGTTGTGAGGGGCCGCATGGACGAGCGGCACGGCGGGGGCATCTGCTGTGGCGGCCCCAGAGATCCGAGGCCCCAACAGCAACAACAACAACAACAACAGCAGCAGCAGCAACAACAACAACAACAACAACAACAACAACAACAACAACAACAACAACAACAGCAGCAGCAGCAGCAACAGCAACAACAACAACAACAACAACAACAACAACCACAACCACAACCACAACAACAACAACAACAACGACAACGACAACAACAACAACAACAACAACAACAACAACAACAACAACAACAACAACACCACAACAACAACAACCACCAACAACAACAACAACAACAGCAACAGCAACAACAACAGCAACAGCAACAACAACAGCAACAGCAACAGCAACAACAACAACAACGACACCACCACAACAACAACAACAACAACAACAACAACAACAACAACAACAACAACAACAACAACAACAACAACAACAACAGCAACAGCAACAGCAACAACAACAGCAACAGCAACAATTGGAGCGGGCGGTGTTGGGCTGTTTTCGGCTTCCAGGGGCCCTCGCCGGGCCTCGGGACCGTCAAAAAAACGACTCAGGACGACAAACCAGCCGACGGAACATTGTCCAGACCTCTGGGGCCCACGCATCAAAAATTATCCCGGCAAAGCAACCTAACAGCGATGTGTAGAAGCATATCTGAAAGCATTCCCCTTAAGATTCAAATGAAAATCCAGTTGTAGAATTCTGCTGTTCTCGCAGTCGTAGTCGCATTCGCGATGACAGTCGCAGCGGCAACGGCAGTCGCAGTCACAGCCTCAGCCTGCCTCAGCCTCAGCCTCAGCCTGCCTCAGCCTCAGCCTGCCTCAGCCTCAGCCTCTGCTTCAGCCTCAGCCTCAGCCTGCCTCAGCCTCTCAGCCTCTGCCTCAGCCTGCTTCAGCCTCAGCCTCAGTCCTGCCTCTCAGCCTCGCCTCAGCTCAGCCTGCCTCAGCCTCAGCCTGCTCTCGGCCAGATCGCCGGGGCAAACAGCCAAATGTGCCCAGGATGGAGTTCTGGGAACTTGAAGAGCACGAAGTGGCCTACAGTTGGCTCCGGGCATCCAAAATGTGGCCCGGGAATGGAGTTCTGGGAACTCGAAGACACGAAGTGGCCTACAGTTGGCTCCGGGCATCTGCCCGGGAATGGAGTTCTGGGAACTGAAGACCACGAAGTGGCCTACAGTTGGCTCCGGGCATCCAAAATGTGGCCCGGGAATGGAGTTCTGGGAAGTCGAAGAGCACGAAGTGGCCTACAGTTGGCTCCGGGCATCCAAAATGTGGCCCGGGAATGGAGTTCTGGGAGCACCAAGAGCGATTTTGCGAGGATGTCCCAAGCGATTTCGGCTTCGGCGGCAGCCTCCTGGCAGCCTCCCCGGGTCCCGCCCAGACCCCCCCTGAGGAGTCATGATGCTCTCTTTTGAGACCACTAGAAGCCTATCAGCAAGAGCTGTTAGGTAAAAATTGGAGCAGCCAGATGCCTGGGGCGTCGGCCCTCGGTTTCTGACCCTGAGATCGTGGCCTCACTCGGTCCCGGGCCCCGCAGGACCATCATGGATCGATGCGGCTCGGGAAGTGTGGCAGGAAGACGGGGTCCGGGGTTGTGGTTGTGATTTCCCAAGACATTGCAACTTGTCGCTACGTCAAACCTCAGGGGCACCGCGTGGACCTCTCGATTTGGGGCGATCCGGTCGGGAACTCCCTCCATCCCTCCCCCACATCCTCTGCCTCCAATCGGACCCCCTGGTCGCCCTTCGGGCTTCCAGGGGGCTTATCGGTCTGCGCCTCATCCTCACCCTCCCATTCCGCCTCCCGTATACACCAAGGGCGCGACCACCAGGGACGTGTTCCCCCAGCGGCTGGGCCCGGCACTCCTAGCATCCCCCTCCTCCTCCTCCTCCTCCACCTCCTCCTCCACCTCCTCCTCCTCCTCCTCCACCTCCTCCTCCTCCTCCACCTCCTCCTCGTCCTCCTGCGCCTCCTCCTGCGCGGCCTCCTCCTCCTCATCCTCCTCTTTGTATGACTAGTGGTTCTATCATTCTTACTACTACTGTTATTATTCTTAATAGTATGACTATTATTATGATTAGTGTTATGATTAGTACTGGTAGTATTAGTATTATTATTAGTATTATTATTTATTACAAATATTACTCGTATTATTAGAAGTATTAGTATTAGTATTATGATTATTATTATCATCATCATCAGCATCATCATCATTGTCATCATCATCATCCTCCTCCTCCTCCTCCTCATCATCATCATCATCATCATCATCATCATCATCATGATTGATATTACTGTTCTTATACTTGATATCGAGAATATTATTATCAGTACTATTACTACTACCTCCTCCGCCTCCTCCTCCTCCGCCTCCTCCTCCTCCGCCGCCGCCTCCTCCTCCTCAGCCACCTCCTCCTCCTGCTCCCTTCCACCCTTCTCCGTCCTCCTCCTCCTCCTCCTCCTTCCTCCGCCTCTCCTCCTCCTCCTCCTCCTCCTCAACCTCCTCCTCCTCCGGCTCCTCCTCCCCCCTCCGCCTATCTATCCTCCCCTCCGCTCCTCCTCCTCCTCCTCCTCCTCATCCTCCTCCTCCTCTTATTCGTCTGTGTCTTCTTCTCCTTATATAAGTTATACGTAGAAAATGATTATGGGCATTAGTAGTAGTATACACATTAATCGTATTACTATTATTGTTCGTCCTCCTACTCCTCGTCCTCGCACTCCTCCTCCTCCTCCTCCTCCTCCTCCTCCTCCTTTCTCATCCTCTCATCAATCATCATCATCATCATCATCATATCATCATCATCATCATCATCATATCATCATTATCATTCATCATCATCATCATCATCATCATCATCATCATCATCATCATCATCATCATCCTTCATCATCATCGTCATATCATCATCGTTCACTCATCATCATCATCATCACATCATCATCATCATCATCCTCATCATCATATCATCATCATCCACCTCCTCATCCACCGCCTCCTCCTCCTCCTCCTCCTTTTTCCTCCTCTCCTCCTCCTCCTCCTCTC